AATCAATGAAGGGCTATGCAAAAGGCTGAGAAAGCTGCATTCATTTCAGCCTGGGTCTTTCATTTCCATTCATTTCTCGGCCCAAACAAACAAGTTCAAAAACTGCTGCAGGTCAGGCAATACTACATCTATGGAAATTTATTTTACACGTGTAATTGAAAGTACCTTTTGCTCCTCAACATCACCTTATATCTGAGCATTAGCTAGTAAATGTGTTACCTTTTGGAATTTTTGGAAAGCATCTCCTGACTTATGGAAATCTTGATTAAGAAAAGGACCAAGTGATGTAGAGTTCTTCTATTTCATAGACTTGTCAGAGTCAAGCAGCAAAAACTAAAAATGGGATTACACACTGTAACACACAGAACCACTTGTAGGTACTTCTACTTTATCCACATTCCATTTCATATAGTCTTGATATCTATTGTTCCATGCTTCAATAGCCTGGAATAAGCTCAATACAGAAAGAGAAGTAGAAGACATACCACAGGAATTGGATTGATCATACTCTCAAATTCATTCACAGGTATCCCGAAAAATTCTTCAGAAAAAATTATTTGACTAAGTAAACAAAATATTGACTTCAGAAGTGGATGAGGCTTCTCGCAGAGTTGGCTAGGCTCTGGTGACATACTGGAGGCCTGGACGCAGCCTCCACCTTCCCTCTTCTTCAACCTTCAGAACATATAGTAGAGGGGAAAACATAGTGTAACATAGAAGCAGATTGAAAGGGATTTATCAATGAGTGAGGCGTACAACTCTACTACATTGTCTACTGAGGGGTATGAGGGGCAGACAGAGGAAATCCGCTCCCCAACTTGATGCAGCTCTGAGAGGACTCTTGTCAGATCCTGATATACTAAAACACTTTACTGACCAACTTGAAGAAAAGAAACCTTGCTCAAGTTCAACTGGTAGATGCATTGAGTGGAACCTGGCAAACACATCCAAACCTCATGGCAGCACCTTCTTGGCAACAATCCAGTGACCACTTTCCTATTAAATGCATGAGAAGAAGGTTCAAAGTTAAATCTACATTTACAAGAGGCTCCTGAGAATATAGATGAATTTATATGGTGAATTTGTATACATATCAGTTCCCCAGGGTTGCATTGTTCGACTGCTTAGGTCTTGAGCCTGAGGTGTCGATGAAAAAAATCAAGCGCTTGTGAGGAAAAACTACTTTATCGACATACAAACAAAAAAAACAAAAAACAAGCCTTAGCAGAATCTACTCCAGTGCATTAAGAGGGAATCGAACCCCCGGCGGGTCGAGCATCGGTATATGGTTATGGCAACGACCCAGGTTACCACTACCCCATTAATGCATGCTTAGGCTAGATACAAACATGCCATTGATGATGTAACTGAACCTTGCTCAACGTCGATTCTACATTCAGAAAAAAAGAATTGTATGGTAAATTTGTATACGTATCGGTACGGTCTAATAGTAGGTAGCGAAAATATTGAACCCGTCCCTCGACAGCTTAATCGACATCCATCTCCGAAGGTCCCGGTGCCTCTCCCTCAGCCTTCTCCTTGGGCGGCTCCTCTTTCGGAGTCTGCGTCCCGCTCCCAGGAGTCGGAGTTCCCGTGGCAGTAGGCACCTTGGGCTTGGGCTTATTCAAAATCGGCGTCGCATAATAAATCACCTCATCCCTCTTCTTCCCAATCTCCTCACTCTTCAACACCGGATCCTTCCACTTCTCCATCTCACCCTGCTTCACAACCATATCATCCAACCATTTCTGCACAACGGCTACCTTCTCTACGACAGCCTGTTTATCCTTCTCGTCGATATGCGCGTATTTTTCCTCTCCTGATGTGGCTTGGGCCATGTAGTTATTGAGGGTCTCGCGTAAAGCGGCGATGGAGGACGCGCGGATTTGGGATTCACGGTAGCGGAAGGCGATGGGGTCGCCGAGGGCCGTACATTGGGAGAGGCGCTCAACGTAGGCGGATTTGGTGGCGTCTTCACCGGCTTCCGAGTAGAGCCAGTCTTCTTGGGTGAGAAGGAGGTCAAGGAGGGCGGATTGTTCGGATGATGTGGAGTAGGGGTGGAAGCGCTCGCCTTGGGAGAGTTTAGAGCGGGTATCGTAGATGTATTCTTCGAGAGCATTTTTGCGGTCCTGGAAGCTATGTTAGCGAAAGCCTGGTGGGTAAAAGCAAAAAATACAAACCTCGGTATCCTTAACAAGCTTATCATTCTCCCACATTGAATTCTCCTGCTCCTTCAACGTCTCAATGACACTCTTATCCATCGCAGAGTTTCCAACCACAAATCGAATGTCATGTTTCACTACCTTCTTCTTCTTCGGCGCTGCTGGAGCCTGTCCCTCAACACCTTCCATCGGAGGTGCCGCATCCTCCTTGGACTCCTTCTCCTCCCTCGTCTCAACATACGCCGCCTCGAAACTAAACATACCATTGGCATTCAATCTTGTCTTGAGCTTGACCTGGGTCTGATCATCCTCTGAAGCGACCTTGGGCACCTCCTTGGCGCTGAATTTTGCAATCCAAGGATTGATACTCCCCGGAAGAAGATCAGGCTCCGCATACAGAGCCTCAACCTCAAACGCCTCCTTTCTATAGAAACTCAAAATCTTGGTAGAAGGAATCGGGTTTCCCTGTCCAAATACCACCAATTCCGTGTCTTCCTCGGCTCCCGTAGGTTCCCATTGGATTTTGATAGGGAAGTGAGTGATATCCGAGACTGCAAAGTCCCTGACACGGAAAACAGGAGAAAGCATGGCGCAGGAGAATGTAGCACCGCGAGCGACGGCTTCGTCTTGATTTAACGTTGTCGAGAGGGTTTTACCTGGGAAACACGAGGCGATACGAGATCGGACGGCGGGAATACGGGAGGATCCACCGATGAGCTCGATAGAGTCGATCTCAGCGAGGGTTAGACCTGAATCAGCAATCGCGCGTTCGATGGGAGGTACAACCCTCGACAGCACGTCATCGATAAGCTCCTCGAGACCTTCTCTCGTGAGTTTGGACGCGGCATCGACATCGTTCATGATAGACTCGACATTGAGCGGTGCCTCTGCGTTGGCTGACAATACTTTTTTGAGCTTTTCGCACATGGCTGCGAGACGGAAGACGGCTTTGGGGTTGGACAGAACGTCGATCTTATACTTTTCCTTGAACTCGGCAGCGAAATGGCGTACAAGAGCGAAATCGATGTCACGACCGCCGAGATTTCTATCGTACGCGGTACTTTTGACAGTAAGCTGGCCTTTGGAGAAGGCGACGATGGCGACAGACATGGAGGAGTGTCCGACATCGACAAAGGCCACGTGTTTGGGGCTATCAGCTTCTGGGAGGTCTGATTTGGTGATTCCGTAGCCGAGAGCAGTAGCAGTCGTGTCGTTGATGAGACGAAGGACGTTTAGGCCAGCAATGGACGCTGCGTCGTGGATGGCTCGACGCTGGACATCGGTGAACCAGCCTGGTACGGCAATGACAATATCTGATACGCTAGTTTTGAGTTCCGCGCTGGCGGTATCACGGAGTCGACCCAGGTACATAGCTACAAGCTGAGTAGCGCTAAACGACTGACGTTCTCCGAGGTAGTTGACCTACGATCCAATCAGCAAATATCGATTGAAGATTTGAGAGAGTAAAAACATACTTCAACGCCAACAGTACCTTGTACATCAACCAAAGTCGCATTGATAAACTTTTTTTCTATATTCTGAACGTCCGAGTCGTTTAGTGTTCGTCCAGCTAATCGCTTCAGCGACCCGATCGTGTTCTTGAAGTTGGATGTTTCTTGTGTTTTCGCTGATTCTCCGATGGATCGTTGTTTGGGTCCAAAGGCTACTAGGGATCTGTACCAAATTCAGGTCATTTTGCGCTGAAAAAAGACGACAGGGACCTACGGAGTAGCTCGGTTCGACACTTCGTTCGCGATGATATCGATCCCTCGATGTCTAGCAACACCGATCTACAAAAAAAATACATAAGCTCATTGCTCCTTCATCGTCGGATGATCACTCACTTTACTCGCAAGAGTACCAAAATCAACACCAACAACAGCCATTTTTACTCGATGCCTACTCTTATACGGCGATTAGATCAAAGGGAATTTACTGGAAAACAGAATAGATTCTAGTAGGGGGAAAGGATTATACGAGAAGGATTTATGGAGGGGAGGAAGGAACGAGTTTTTAGGCAGGCATCACTTTTTTGTGGCATAGCCGCATCACAACGGCCCGTTGCCCGATATGGTAATTGACGTCCTTCTTTCGCCTTCGAGAGTGTTCTACCGTCTTCTACAAAGTTCCTCTGCCTTGAAAACACGTCTTTGACGCGTGTATAATATATCAATGTAGGATGGGGTTCAGTTCGCTTACCTTCCACGTCTTTCTGATATTGATACACAGACCTCGATAGTCGCGTCGTTTAGAAAGTTTCTATATTGATCTACCACAGCTTGAGTAGCCATTGCTAATGGAGATTTTCAATCTCCGTGGTGTGTACCAAAAGAAAAATTTGAGAAAGTTCTGAGTTTCGTGTAGATGAATTCGTATCGATATAATGAGTGGGACTAGCGATCTTCGAGCGCCATAGTGAAGTGTCCGATTCCGAACGCAATTTCATTCGGTGCTACTCATGAGAGTCATCAGCAGAGTATTTCAAGTACATACAGCCACTGCAGAGATTCAAGGCAAATTGGATAGTCTATGAATTCACAACTAACGCATAAATCAAACGCAAATGCAAATGCAAAAATATAACTATAATAGCCTTCTAACATTTCCATATTTATCCAGCCACCGTATGTAGACGCTTCTCCCAGGTCTCCGACTCGAGCAATATCATCTCTCAGCACACGCATATGAACCAAGGTCGCCGCCCTGTTCGAGAGCTGAATGCGAGCAGTTACTTCATAGTATATAAGCGGATACAAAGAAGATACAAAGACAGAAAAACTACCATGTATCATCAACTGCGAAAAAAAGCGAACATGCGCTTGACTCAAAATCTCTCATTGCATTAAGAGGGAATCGAACCCCCGGCGGGTCGATGTTTTATCGCTGGAATAATACTATGGCAACGACCCAGGTTACCACTACCCCACTAATGCATGAGTATCTAGGTAGCAATCTCTTCCATGTTCTCTTACTTTTGAGTTGAATATAGTCATAGAATACGTCAAGTTCAAGTCAAGTTTAAAGTGCAAATATATCTCTTGCTCCATGATAAAGTTGTAAGATTAATCCTCAGTATATCAGAAAATTCTACTGGATTGAATTGAGCTACTGTGGCAATGTTACCTCAAAACATGCAGAGCTAGCTCGAACTCAAGTTGAATGTTACCAATTTAGGCCAAAGCCTCGCCCAAAACTCAAGAACTATGACTCGGGCGCCGCCTCACTGTTCGAGGGTTGGATACGAGCAGTTGCTCAAGAGTGGTTGTCTCAACAACAATTATAAGTACTTATTCCAGGAATAAAAGCCAATAATTGTTGGCAGATTGAATCTCAGTGATGATCGTGGATTCGGCGCTAGGAAGGAAAGAAGGAAGGATTATTACGCCGGTTCTGAAGCATCCGGTGTGGCAAACACCATCATCTCTGGGGCTCCTAGGGAATGCGTAGTTATGAATCAATCAATAAATAAATAAATAAGAAAGAAAAATAGTTAAGTACAGAAGCTCATGGCAAAAGAAATGAATCCCAGGAAGACAAGCTAGAAAATGCATTAGAGGGAATCAGACCTCAGCGGTCGAGCCTTCCATTCGAGTTTACAACGAACGACCCAGGTTTACCACTATCCCATTAATGCACAAAACCCTACAGTCGGATATACCATAGAAATAAGTCAAGCAAAAGTATAGTACACTACGTATTCGACCATGATACAGCAATCTTCCACTGCCGAATCCATGATCGACTTGATACAAATCCACACTCGCCTGAAGCAGTGTCATGTCCGGGAGAAATATACCGTGACGAAGCCGCTGTAAAGTTATACAACATACGACCGTGAAGTCGTATTAGATAGGAAAAAGACTAGTGGCAGCGTCTAGCAAGTATCCACCAGGCTATTCTTCGGAAACGTCTTGTTGTAGCCCGAGATACCAGGTTGCCACTGTGTCAGGTTGGGATTTTGGTATGCGGGAAGATTCCTATTCACAACGGTTGGTTATTGAGCATGCATAAAGTTACTATTAGAAGTCATGAAACGCACGCATTGATATAATCCGCTGTAGGGTAATCTGGCGGGTTACAGTTGATATTCTGTGCGTCTGCAGGTTGGTACACTCTTATCCAGTCAATGCGCATAACAGCAGGAAAGGTGAGGTGGGCAAAATCCAGAAAGGCGAAGCTACTGGACATTCCGAGATTGGCAATTAGGTACTAGAGGAGATCGAGTTAGTATATATATGATACCGGGATGCGACAGGCACTGAGGGAGAGCGATTGCAGTAAACGTACCATTGGTTCCTGCGAGATCGGCCGTGCAGATATGTTGGTAACTGGATCAGCACCCATGCCAGCTGCATTCAACGTCCATCGACTGTTTTCCGTCGACTGCCCAGGTTATGTACTGCCATAGAATAAGTACGCCGCAGAATTCTAACTACGGAAACTCACAGCATTATCAGCCTCATATCCCGGTTTATATTCAACTGCATATGTGGAAAAGCAGTCGTCGTCTAATTGATAGCAGAGCTGATCTATGAGGCAAGTCAGTTCCGAATCCCTGCTCATTGGTAGAAAGGGAAAGAAGAAGCAACGTACTGGTATTAGTAACATAAGATGTAGCTTGCTGTAGCGGCCCCCCGGCATACGGATTTTTTATCGTGATGTCCCAATTATCAACCGACATACCAGTGCCACTAGTATTCAGAATTTCGTACTCATTGTTAAATGGCTGCAAATCCATGTTCAATCCAGAGTATCACGCGTGGGATAAAACTTACCGCCCACTGAGAACTTTGCGATAAAACACCAGTCGTGCCGTCTACCTGAGCTTCAAACATGTCGATTTCTGGAGATGACCTGGGGCCGAACGTATATCAGCCGTAAATTATGAGGAACTCCACCAAATATCTGGAGCTGACCTGCCAACAAAAGTGCCGTCGCTGTGTTTCGGACCAGGGTGTTCTTCGCCGGGACATGTGCATCTCGAAAGACGTTGCCCGGGAAGGTTAGAAATGGCCGTTTTACCATCAGGGGGTTGCTCATTCGCTGCAGCTGGCTGGCCGTTAATACTTTGGTTCGCGACAGCGCCAACATCACAAGCGTCGTAGCTGTATGGCCACTGCGTAGTTTCATCAGCATTGTTGGAACTTGGCCTACCAAGATTTACTCACCATTCCCTCAAACGTTGCACCATATCCGACTCGGCCCAAATTCCCGAGCGTCCAGATCGCAGGCCAGAAACCAGATACATTGCTCGCTCCAGGTAACGTAACGCTGGCTTGTATCAGAGCACCGGTAAAGCAAAACTTGTTCCATGTCGAGAGCATGCCGCCTTGGTAGTTCATTCCATGTGTAAGTTGTTCCGTAAAGGTGATTTTCAAGCGCTCCGTTCTTGGTGGTTATCGCTGCAGGATCATACCAGTTTAGGTCGCCAGTCTATTCGAGGATGGTTCAGGTCTTGTTCTTGGCTTCGTCGGAAAGATGTCGGAAAGAACTTGCCTCCCAGTAATTCAGATTTACTATGGTTAGCGAAAGTTAAATACGTGCACGCGACTTGCGACTTGAACTAAACACACCTGCTTCCCAGTACGGATCATCTCCAGGATAAAATGTCCTTCCGTCCGTATTAAACTCGTCGCTAAACACCAACTTCCATTCTGAGCCGTCCATATATGACGGAAATGACTTTGCATTTTCTGGGGTTTCGATATCGATTAGGCCGTGGTTGCCTAATAGTTGTGGAACCTGTTGAAGAAAATGAGTAGGATACAGAAGTGCATGAACGGCTCTATAGATACGCACCTGCCCAGTTTTGTTGACGCCAAACGTCTGTACTGGAGTTTGAGTAAAGGCGGTTGCTACGGGGTAACCGACACTGAAAGCAGTATGTGAGCTCTGAGCTGTGCGATAGAATGCAGAAAAACGTACAATAAACCCATAATACATATTAACAGGACCACTAGGCAGCCTACATTCCCCAGACCACGGGTATTGAATATGCTTCCTCTTGAAAGGCGTATCTTGGAGTCGGGATTGTGGATGAGGTCGTCGTCCTCGGGCTGGTTTGCGATTCGGCTGATATCCCATACTTGCGGGTTGAAATTCTTCTACGGAGATTAGTTCAAGAGATCACTTTCCAAGAGCGCACATACCCGAGAATCGGTTTTGGATGAAGGTCTGGATGAAGGTCTTGAGGATATCGATGCAGATATTGGAGTGTTAATTTGAAATGCAGATTTTTCATTCGTGGACGAGACTGCAGCCTTGGTGACAGGAACGGCTTTGTAGTGAGTACTCTGTCGAGGTTGCTGCATGCTGTTGCTGCTAATGATTGCTATCGATTAATGATAGCTGTGGAACGGAGCGAGTAAGATTGATGAACGCAAGTGAAACAGATGGTGTATCGCTGGGGTGGGTAAGGTATCTCGAAAGGCGTTATGGCAAGTGAAATCCACAAAGGAAGCACTGGGGTAGGCAGGGTATCTCGAAAGGTATGCCAAGAACGTTATCACGAGTCTTTATAGTTCACGGCGAGTTCTAACCGCCAATTGAAAACAAAAAGGTGAATACTTACCGTGTTCCGATGCCAGAGACCTGCCGTGCAACTTCCGAATCTTTCCTTCTCCGACTGCAGGAACAAGATTGATAAGGATAGCGGTGCTTTATAACCGAGAAGATTCGTTAACGGTGTGTACGGAGCTTGCAGATTCTTCCCTTGCGGTGAGCTTCCTCAAAAGTTCAAGTTTGTACTTTTATGAAGCACCGTGCACTGGTATCAAATGTTCCATCATGGCGCCAATCTGAAGGAAGGAAGGAAAATATATAATCAGCGTCAGAATCGAGGTCCTGAAGCACGGGAACTCACCTGTATAGCCGGTCGAGATTGTTTGAGCATGAGGGGTATTTCGCCGTTAAAACTTTGTTTCACCAGTGAATGCCCCAAGTCTGTGCTAGTCGAGTCTAGTTCGAGTCTAGTTCGAGTCAGAATTCCTGTTATCATTCGATTGGTTTTTGGCAAGAACCGTCACTATGGATTGAATGGCTTCGAGAGCGGGAGCGAATTGGAAAATCCATAATATTTGATGTGGTGAGAGTGGATTGAAACGCAGGGTTGAGACGCAACGTGAGAGACAGGAAACAGAAAGAAGCATGACTTCAAGTTCATTGATTCTTGGCCGCAATGTAAATCGCGATGACGAAAACGCGTCGACTTGAATGGTCTTGATTCTTGACAAAAAGTTTCAGTACTGGAGGGTCGATCTACATAGAATCAAGGCTTCGAAATTCTGAGAGGAGAATAAACAAGGTGGCTGTTCCGCAGCACTAATTTACTTAGGCGCGCGCACACGCCGGCCCCGAAGCGGTACTCACGGGTACTACAGATTCTCAGAAGTTAGAATAGAATAAAACATACAGCGTAAGTAATAAGTCAGAATGTTGGGGTTAATTCTACTTACCCGTATTTCTTCCTATGGCAGAATTCAGAATTTATATGTCTGCGTATTTCTAAACGGTATATAAGATCCCATGGGAAGTCTTTGACTGCCACGCAACGCTGGGTTGCAGACGTTCGAGAATAGTAAAGGCACAAGAGTAAAGAGGTTTCAAGGTTTCGATTCGTCAGGTGTCCTCCCAATATTAAAAGGACCCCAAGGTTGAGTCATGCCACTATGTACAGTTGGTTCGAATTTTGCCTGAAAAAAAAGAGACAAATGCTCAGGTGAGTCCGCATTTGAAAAGTAAGCACTAACACACCGCCGCTGCAGTTACTTCCGCTAATAGACCCATCACAAAAGGCATATAGGTGGACTGAGTCTCGCGGATACGACTGATGCGGCGAATGAGACTAGTCCTTCGGGTCTCCCCTTAGTTGTTTTTTCTCTGGCTTGGCGTCGGTCTCTGCTCTCTCGACAACCTTGTTCATTTCCTTGCCTAG